AGTTTCCACTTGAAGCCCTACAAACATTGTCTTGGGAGGACCTCTTTGAGGAAGGGTCTGCCTGATCATTTGCAATAAGTGTTTATCCCCGAGGCTGTTTCCAGCACTGCTGGGTAGTGCCAGGAGACCTGGCACTAACTCACCCCCGAGCTGTGGATGCCCTCAGTCACATCGGATTTTCAAGAACCACGTCAGTGTGGAACCATGCACCGGGCACACGATGTCCTGCCCGGGTCAGCAGGAGTACCGTGTGAGCCCACACCTCTGGGTAGGTCACACAAGTGGAAATGATGGTTAGAAAAGTGCGGAATCCAGAGAGCAGTTAAACATGGGTGAGCAGATTCCTCCTTTTTCAAGGACTGAACTGAATTGTTTGCCTTTAGTTTGCAGCAAACGCCACACTTCAGATCTCTGTTGCTCTGCCAATGCAAGTGTCCTCAGAGAAATCCAGGAAGAACCTCTGCATATAAGGAAGGAAAGGTCTCAAGACAGCACGGGCTCGTCAGTGGAAAGGCAGTAAGACAAATCCAGGCCTCACTAAAAAAGAAAAGGAAAAGTAAAATAATTTTTTTTCTTAAAAAAAAAAAATCTCAGAACAAAGGCACCCCAACTACAACACTTAAAATGGAAGTCAAGCTGAAGATAGAAATTCTGGCCTTCCAGAAGGACGTTTTCCTGTTCCCTGTACCACAAGCAGAGCGTGGTTTTGGTTCATCACTGGCTGAGCTGCTGTATGATAAAACTTACCGATGAACAAGCTATTTTAAAAGCAGTGGATCTCTGTCCTGTTGGTGGCTCAGCTTCTCCAGTGTCTCTAAAATGTTTGTTTTTAAGTGGGAAATGACTAAGCGGCCTGTACAGAAACAAAGAAACAAAGGCAGTTGAGGCTCCAGCTTTGGGAAGTTTCCCATGACATCAGGCAGACAGGGCTGGGGAAGCCCCATGAGGGCATAGGCTGGAGGCAGCAGTACATGCAGCTCAATCCTCACCGCTGCAGGTGACCCAAAGATTTCAGCTTCTGACATCTGCTTCAGCCCACTGGAGCCCTGAGAGCAAACCTGAATGTTCCTTCCCACTGCTCTGACCTCGCCTCACCTCTCCCCACACCGCCATCCACACACTCCTGCTAAAAACACCCCAGCCCTCAGACATGCTTAGTCTCTCAGAGCACAAACCAAGCGTCAGAGGACCATTCCCTTTTTCCCCAGACAGCAAAAGCTGGAAGTGGCAGCACCAAGAAGGCTTACCTTGCCTTTACATCTCCACAGGCTGTCAACTCTGAAGCCTAATGATGGTGCTAGCACAGCAGCTATCTATGGCTTGCTTCCAGGGACCACTACAGTGGGCTACCAACTGCACTCAGCTTGTGCCACCATCCTGCACTCCTTCCACAAAGCCCCAGTCCCCCAGAGGACGCATCCAGCTTATCCAAAATGCTTGCCATGGCATACCTACTACAGCATGCCAGAGACTGAAAGCCTGTAGGGTCACCTCTGTTGTAGGACAAACTACAACCCACACAGCACAGCCTTGTCTTACTCACTAAGAACAGCCCAGACATTGGGAACAACTGATCAGCACCCTCCCTCATGGGAGACCATGGATGCCAGCAGTAACTTAAGAAAAGCTGCTTTTATTCTACATAAGCTAGCAAAGACCTTGAACTCTTCTCAAGCACTTATCACCAAGACAACCAAGAAAGGTGCTTGAACCCTGGCCAATATGTTTTTCTTTCTGCTTCACAGAACACATGAACTGCAAGAGCACACTGCCTCCAGGAGCACTTGAGCCTCAGAGACAGCAGTAAAATTTCCAGGGTAAACTGATACAAAATCTTACATTTCCTGTGGGCTTAACCCAAACACAAGTCTAAGAGATCCCAAATGCTGACATCACTTAAAAAACCAAACCCAACCCAACGCAACCCAATCTCATGGCATTACCTCTCCCAAGCATAGGCATTACTCCAAGACATATATTCCTCTATCACACCAATATATTTGCCCCAACCCACTTTTCTCAGTAGTTTAAGCTGAAACACCTGCGTGTAAACTGGGACACAGGCACTTCTTATTCTGCCATCCCTGATTTGGGGACAGGAGGTTGGGACTAAAGGCTGGCAGCGACAGAGCAGAGATGTGAAGAGGGGAGCCTGAGTATTTTGTCTCTCTCCTGCAATGCTCCTTATCATGAGTGAAACTCCCTCTTGCATTGTTGGGTGTTGCTGGAGATGTACCCAGCTCCGAGTGAGCTGTCACACATCAGAACTCCCAAGAGCCACCAAACTACCCTCGCCTGAGAGGGACTGCATTGGCGTGTGTGGGGTACACAGATGGGCTGGGGGGCCAGCACGGGCACCAGCTCTGCCCAGACCTACAGCTCTGGGAAAAAAGTCTGAAGGAGCCCAAGGCCTTGTCCAAGTGTGCTTCTCACTTTACTGCAGTAAAAAACCTCCAAACACACTGTTCATGTCAGTGGTGGCTGCTCCACTGTGGGCAGCCCTGCTGCTGAGATGGAAGGTGATGGCAAGCCCAGTGAGCCTGTCCTGGTTCCAGTATCCAAGCAGGGCTACAGGAGAGGTCCAGGGAGCAGAGCCAAAGGGGAGGAGATCACTGGGGCCCCTGCACAGCTCAGATGGGGGCAGGGACCAAGCCAACCTTTGTCCAGTGCTTGGCAGCTGGGCTTGGGTGTTTCTCAGTGTCACTATTTACATGTGACTTACTTTTGTCATATATCTCACTTCCCCATTACTTTGCATAATCTTTTTAGACATTTTTTATTTCTGATTTCTGGGTTAGAGGCATCACAAAACACTAGCAACACCTTGGAAACATCACTACTCCCATTTCCCTAAATTACAGGTGGAGGAGCAGAGGGAAATGCTGTCGAGGGGAGCTGCACTCTAATGCTCCAGCCACTTAATAAGCCATGAGTAGACATACTAATGGACAAACCTGATCAGGCAGTTACAATAATTCCCGTGCAAAAGCAATGCTTCCAAACAGAAAGTTGCATAAATTGATGCTAATGCTGAAATTCATCAGGTAAAAGGCATTGCTACCCTGATTTTGAGAACCTTCCTATGCACAAAATTATCTATCACCTCCACATGGGGGATAGCTACTGATTTAGAAAAAGGAAAAGCAAACGGAAAGACCCTACTGTGAACTCGCTATGGTTTAACCTCATGATTGTACTTGGATTTGAAAATTTAATTAGAGAATAATTACAGAGAAACCGGAAATATTACAGAGGCCCCATCACCAGACCCGGGAGGTTTTCTTGGCAGCAGAGCATCTGCAGGCGGTGCTAGAAGACTTCTGAATACTTTTTTTACAAAGCAAAGGGGAAAGACAGACTCTTTCTAAACACTACTTTGCAGCAAAAAGTCTTTTGACTGATACTCCGATCTCTTTTTTTGAGAAAAGCAAGACAGGTTTCCTAACGGGATGTAGGCCACAGGGCTGTGGAGGCTGCAGTTGCTGTTAGAGTTAACTACTGCACCGCGGCCGCTTCCCACCGAAGGAGGCTCACGGCAGAGCTGCCCTCTTTCTTCATCCCTGTTTGTTATTTCAACAGCCCCAGCAGCAGCCAAGAGCAGAGAGAATGAACAAATGGGAATAAAAATAAGTCCTCCAAGACACGCAAAGCATTAGCCAATTCTTTTTTTGATCTTTCTGCTTGGCCTTTTGTCTATTGTGCTTTAGGATTCAAACAGCGGAGAGGTTCATGCAGCAAAGACAGATCAAATCAACCCTTAGGTGAGCATTATACTGTATGTACCGGCCCCTAAACAAAAGTGAGGGGGCTGCTTTGCTTTGTCTTAGACAGGAGTTTGTCCTGCAATGAGCTATGAGGTCAGAACAGTTCCATGCTGAACAGCAAGGTCTCAGCAGCCACATACACAACCACAATTAAATATACACTAATCACAGGTGAACTCAAATCTTTTAGGCCCAATGGTTGAATAGATAATTTCTGAGTCGCAGAGCCTGCTCACATCCCAGCTATAAATGCCTTGGGGGAAAAAAAGGTAATGCTCCCCATGGCAACCCAAGCGTTTACACAGTGAAGCTGCTGCAGCACAAAAATATCTCTCTGCTTTGCTCCAAAGATGCTCCATCCCCCCAAACCTTATCTAGAGAAGGGGATCTACACAGCTCTGACTAGTACAGCCTGCTCCAGAAAGCAGGAGCCTGTGAATTTACCACTCACACGATGTACCTACGCATCCCTCAGCTTTATGCAGAGCCATTTTGGCATTCCTGGCAGCATCCCTTGGAATTAGGGTGCTGCTGCATCAGCAGTCCTGGGGCCCTACGGCCTGAAGAACCACAGGTTTCATTCAGGCCAATTATAGCACGTTATAAATAGAGGATCCTGCTTGTTTTGGAACCGGTACATAGCGAGCGGCAGGTTCTGCTTCCGCAAATAGCCTGGGAGCTGGTAAGGACAGGCTCACGTCAGCTGGCCTGAGAAGTGCTGGGGTTAAAATGACACCAGCAGGGAGCCAGGAGGTGTCCCCAGCCTGGCCAGAAACTGTAGTGGATAAGCCTGGGTGGATAAGACCAGTGGGGTCAGGCTCTGCTTTAGCAAAGCCTTTGTCCTACTTATCTGTGGGAAAATGGAGTTTTCATCCTGCACCTCCCTCAAGTCTTTTAAGTTAGCAAACTTAAATAATCACAGGTACACTTTTATGGATGAACAGATGATTTTGTAATGATTTTAAGATGTACAATACAAAAGCAGGCAATTCATTGTTTCTTAGGGAGCCAGAGGCCAACAAATTCACACTGAATTCAATCAGGCACCTGCTCAGAGCAATTCCCATCAGGGAAGGCATCCCATTCTCTAATTGTAAAACACTGCATCATTTTTCTAACCTTTGAATATTATTGATTTTTTTTTTTCAGGTGCAGAGAGAGAAATGCCAAGCGTGATGTCAGCAGGCAGCAGTACATGGCACAATAGCTCTTTCCAGAATCTGAATGCCAACTGAAGCAGGACTGGACATTGCATGATAAGAGACAAGCTGTGCTATGCATATTTGGGGCAATGGAGGCAAGGGTTTGACCCCCTGAGCCCTTGGGGTTTGCTCTGCCAAGGCCAGGTTGCTATATCATTATGATAAGGGTAATCCTGTTAGGCAAACACATCAAACAAATAGTCATTCCCGATTGCAGACCTTGTCTGGGCAAATCTAACCCTGGGTTAAAAATGTGCTGAGTGTGCAGTCTTGTGACATAGCACACCAGGGGCTGAATGGGATACATGGGGGCTTCTGTGCCCCAGGACCCCCATGCAGGCACTCTCTGAGGCTCAGGCTAATTCCTGGAAGTGTCTAAAAATTGCAACAGAATAAGTTCCTTCTCTTTCCCCTTCACTTCTTGTGTACAAGAGGACAGATGACTCTTATGTCAGGCTGTTTTGCTTCTATATTTATGTCCTGCCTGAGGCTCACAATGTTCAGCTCAGATGCAATCCAGTCTGGTTGTATTAATACATCTGGGAAAATATTTTTAACAACCAACATCAAGCTGAAGCCCAAAATCCTTCACAGGCGCCAGGAGCTCTCTGACCCCTCTCAACCGCTTGCTTACGAAACAGAAAGGCTCCCCAAAGGGTACTTTTCAGTCTTTTAAGGGACAAGTACACTTTTCAGCTTCCCCTTGTAACATGAGGGATGAAATTTAATCTCTGCCGCAACTCTGGGGGTTTCCCTAAGTTTCCAAAAGGATGAACCAGGCTCTTTTATTACAGGTGTCAAAATCAAGGCTTAATGAGGGGTGGCCCATGAACCCAGTCAAAGTGAAGAGGACACTGATGACAGCCTGTGAGCATCCCTGACAGCTGCAGCTAAAGGATCTCATCGCCTTGCTGCCTGTCTCACTTCTGCAAGACCACTTTTCTCTGTCAAGGAACTAGAATAAAAAGTAAGTTTCAAAGCCTTAAAAACCGGGTTATCACACCAGTGGACAATGACAGCCTCAAAAAATCCTGAGCCATTTACTCAGCCTCCCATTAGCTGGGACTGATGTTTGGCAGTGGTCAGCCCTCACACCATATACTTCGTCCAGAGCTGGTGGAGACATTTCCTTTCCAAAACAAAGTGTATCAGAGCATCACTTGGGCTCCCAAGAATTACAAATGGGTAAGGTTGGAAGGGACCAGTAGAGGTCACCTAGTCCAACCTCCCTGCTCAAGCAGAGTCTCCTGGAACACAGTACTCAGGTTGTGTCCTGACAGCTTTTAATATCTCCAAGGAAGGAGACTCCTCAACCTCCCTGGGCAACCTGTTCCAGTGCTCAGTCACCAAGTATCAATTAGGATGCAGATTTTTGGAATTCACTCAGCAGCAGCCAGGAAACAAGAGTAACAAGTGAAGACTTGCTCACTTTGTTGTTTCCAAAGCAGATTTTTTTTTCATGCCACGGGTCAGGATGGAGCTGACCCTATAATGCAGCACAGAAAGCAAAGCAGCTGAAGTTATGGGCAACTCAAGGTCAGTGTGAAATGGTGATTCATACAAAGTCAAATAGGACTGTAATACAAATGAAGACTGAGAAAGAAGAAGTGGGTGCTGATCAAGGCAGTGTGGTGGTGAGAACAGGGCGAGGTTCAAGGCCACGACTCTTCCCCTGGATGGAGTGATGTTGTCTGATGGTTCCAGCCCAGCAGCCAGGAGCAATGCCTCAACCCAGATCACTACTGACACTCTGCAGCTTCTTCAGTGGTCTTGTTTCTCAAATGAAAATATTTTTGCACTTCCTAGGAAAACTTTTTTTTTCCAAAGTTATTTGAGATTCTGAAATGAAGGGACAGAGTGATTTTTAACAGCCTTTTCCCAACATGCTCCCTTGAAAAATGGAGATGGGCAAGCAGGCACACAAAAGGCATGTACACGATGGGTGTTACAGACCCAGGTGGGTATAGGAGGGCAGTGCTCTCCTCTCTGCGTCTGATGTGCAACACATATCTATGGTGAACTGCCCTCACTCCCCCCCATTTTCAGGAGAGAAAGGACAGCCCTGAGCAACCTTCCTCATCTTCCTTCCCATCCCTGGTGCTGCAGGCAGACAAGGGCCCTGCTGCCTCCTTCCCAGCTGGGTGCTCCAGAGATGACAGAAGCAAAGGGCCAGCTCCTCAGGTGGGGAACCAGCAGCGGAAGGGGAAACAAAACCAAAAGGTTTCTGGAGAAAATATTTGTGTAAGGCTTCCACGAGGTGTCAGCAGCAGCTATTATTCATCACAGCTGAACAGAGTGCCTGGGGCTGCCATCCACCTCACATGGCTTGTCCTCACCAAAGGAGAAAAAATCCTGTCTAGTGACTGCCAGCAGCTCTGTGCCATGTCTCCCCACAGGATGAGCAGCCTCTGTCCCCAGTCTAACACAGCAGAGGGTTCCCCACACAGAGGCAGGACCTCAAGGACCAAAACAATATACTTGCATATTATCCATGACCTAAAGAACTCACCAGCTAAAACAGGACAGTTGAAGCAGCATTACTGCACCTCTGCTGCAGACAGGATGCTGGTGGCACGGAGAGATTAAACTGGAGATCAGTGATATACCTGCAGTGAGAGGACAACGTACAGCGTGTATATTTCAACCCAGTGCCCCTTGCTGCAAATCCCTAACTCTCCTCATTCCCTACACTCCTCTCTGAAGATGTTTAATTTTAGCTAAACAGGACATTAGGCATTTCTCTCTGACTTGTTGAAAGACCCCAGAGGGTTAAAGCAAAGTGGTAGCTCTGCTGCTCTAGCCCACCACGGCTCTGGAGCTGTTGACCTAACTCTGCTGACCTTTGGTCCCGAGCCTGCCTTCTTCGAGGCAAAGTTCGGAGTCAAACCCATGCACAGAATCCTTGCAAGGACTGGAGTAAACCCCATATCCTTTAGCCCTGTTCAAGGATAAGGGATGTACTCTTTACATTTTCATCTCCTGCTCAAGCCCAGCACTAAACATTAACCATGTTCAGTGTGCTCCCCGATACTGCTTATTTTCATTTTGCTTTTAATTACACCCACAGTCATGTCCGTTACGTCAATATGATCCTGCCCTCAATTTAATGAAAGCCTTAGGAAGCAAATGACGTCTGCAACAAGAAATGGTAGAGCTTTTTCTGTCGTCCGATTACGTGGTTGGGGTTTCCGTAGCTTTAAGAGGATTTTAGCTGGTCAATGGCTGGAGAAACCAAAGGATCAAAGTCCCAGATGAGGGTGAAGACAAAAATAGCTCTGAGAGAACACGTCATATTACTTGGAAGGGGTTGCACCAACAGAGTAATCTTTGTCATGTGCCAAGGAACCTGTGATAAGCCCTCTCATAGTCGGATCAGCAATAAGATCAGTTACTTAATTCAAGGTGATTAAAACCAGGCTGGGACTTCAAACAAACAAGTCATGTCCATGGGGCTGCACAAAATATATATGTATATATACACATATATATATATATATATCACAAAATTAAAACCTTGCTGGGCTGTCCTGTTTCATCACTAGTGCTGGGCACTCTATAAACAATTTTAGGGGCAAAAAAAGCCCCAAAAAAGGTTGCCTTTCCTACAAATGCATATGAAAAGTACATTTTGTAACCAGGGGCCAGCCTATGGGTTACCCAGCTGTGAGGCTGCAAGGATTCAGCACACTCTGGCCAATTTTTAAAGCCAGTGCTGGGGCCCAAAGCATTCTATGTTGTAACTCTTTCCTCCACCTCCATAGGAGTGCTTGGCCTGCAAAAAAAAAGTCCCATTTCCAACCAAAGGCATTACTTTCCTACACAAAAGCCAGTTTTGCTTTGCAACTGTGCTATTGCCCTGCCTTTGGGCTCCAATACCATTTGGCTTGTGTGAGTAAAAAGAGCTGGGCAACTTGGCTGGTCACTACACCGGACATCTAAATCAATGACAATGACAATGTCCCGGCAATGATGAGGAAAGGATTTGGGATTCGTGGTTGCTCATGGCCATCTCCCAGAGCAGGTGGCACACAGAGAGGTGGCGGGTACCGCTGCCATCAGCGATGGGTGGCAAGGCACAGGCGGGTGAAGCTGTGGCAGACACAAAGGGAGGGCTGTAGAATTATCTATTTTTAAACCATTTCTCTTTCCTGTGCTTTGGTACAAATTGTCCCATGCCTGCAGTGACAACACATGACTGATAGGTGGGGGCCCCAGTGACAGCAGGGAGTGGTGAAGCGGCTGCCTTTAATGAGTTTTCACCTGGAATCGGAAATGAAAGAGGATTTTCCGTGCCGTGGCTGACATCCAAGACGCCAGGAGCCGTGGTGGATCCGCGGGGATCCTCGGATGACGAATCGTGCTGACAAACACTGGACGTAATTCTCTCCGGCAAAGCAGCTCAGGGCATGTTATCCTTCTTTTATTCCCTCCCCTCAGATGTAGTCACCAAGAGTTTCTACACATGACACTGGTGTGCAGTAGCCTGCCTGGCTCACCCACCTGCCTGCATCCCCTCACACAGACCCCTGGGGTTTGTTGTGAGCATCACGTGGCGGGGAAGAGGTTACAAAGCAAACCAAGCACAGTTTAAGCATTGTTTCCCTGGCTGAATGGTGGTTCAGAAGAGGCACGACAAAGGGGACGGCTGTTCCTTGCCAGCTTCGTGCTCATCGAGATCAAGGGGAGGGCTGGGAGCTCTGGTCTCTCTCCCTGCCACCCCAAGCAGCTTCACAGAGAGGGCTGCAGGGAAGTGGGGCATTTCGGCCCATGTCTGGTGATTCCTCGACGTGTGTGGGAGCACAGGTCATGCTGGGATGTATGGAAAGTGTCTCCCATTCCAGCAGCAAACAGCAGCAGCTGCGTGCCGGTGAGGGGAAGGCTGGGAAACCCCAAAGATGGAGAAACCAGAGCTGTCAGCCATGAACCCATCAGTGACTGGCACTGCCCACTTGCAGAGTCTGATCTTCCTGACTGAACAGACAGTGGCTGCAAGCAGGGCAGACACCTGGGTCAAACACAGTGAGAAAGGGGGAAATGCTCTGAACCCACTTGTGGAGATAAGGGTGGAGCAGATCCCATGATTTGCTATCAGTAAGGAGGCCTTATGAGAGAGCAGATCCCAGTAATGCCGGCACTTGCTTTCCCAGTGTGTGGTTGTTCCCTGTACACACACATTTTTAGGGCCAAGGGACTGCAGGAGCCCAAGGGTGCAGGGCTGTAGGCAGTGCCAGGTACACCTCACACCATGGCCACCTCTTCACTCTTCTGTAACTAAAACCTGCAAGGCAAATGTCTGGGAGACATATGAGAGGCACAAGTTTAGCAACAAGCACGTGTGCGCACACATGCGCCGACCGAAGGGCAGTGCCAGTGCCAGGCTCCTGCCAGAGCCACCCACGGGGGCGGGCAGGACAAGCCAGGGATTGGTACAGGCCAGGCTGGGCCCTGCCAGAGTTGGTGGGGGGTGTGACACCGTCTGCCCTGCACCCATGTGCCCAGGCACTGCATGTCTGCAGCCTCCTATGTCCAGGAGCCCGGCTGTCCCACAGCCCCTGTGCACAGGTCCCGCTGTGGCCCAGACACCATGTGCCCTTGACCCGTGTGTCCAGGTCCTGGTGTGCCCCTGGCACAGACTTGGGACCCTGCGACCCTGGGATACTATGCTCTCTGCTCTCTTCATCCCTTATGCCCAGAACCCCATATCCCCGGCACCCTATATCCCCAGGACACCACATACCTGGACTCCAAAACTCTGGGACCTCAGGAGCCCAGGACCCCAGGATCCTGTGCTCCCTGATCCTTGCACCCCTTATCCCCAGAAACCCATATCTCCAGAACACCATACCCCCAGGACACCATGTAACCGCACTCCATATCTGAGACCTCAGGACCATGGGATCCTGTGCCCTCTGCTCTCTGCATCCCTTATCCCCAGGACACCATGTAACTGCACTCCATACCTCCATGGGACCTCAGGAGCCCATGACCCTTGTCCTGCTGAGACCCCACATCCCTGGCACCGCATGTCCCCAGACCCTCGCGACCCCGTGCTCCCGGGACCTCCATGACCCCGGGACCCCCCCCCCCCCCCCCCCCCCCCCCCCCCCCCCCCCCCCCCCCCCCCCCCCCCCCCCCCCCCCCCCCCCCCCCCCCCCCCCCCCCCCCCCCCCCCCCCCCCCCCCCCCCCCCCTCCCAGATCCCCTGCAGCACCGCCCCCGCCCCGCGGCATTCCCGCCCCGCCCCCGCGGGACTCCGCGCCCTCGGCCAAGTTTCTTGGAACTTTGCCTGGCGTGACGCGCGCGCCGGCGCCGGGCCCCGTCCTCCCGGCGCAGCCAATGGGCGCGCGGGGCGCCGGGGCGGCGGCCAATCGGCTGCGGCCGGACAGTTCCGCGGTCCTGACCGACCTTCGCCGCCCGCGCGGGGGGGCCATAAAAGGGCCCCGCGGCGGCGCGCGCCGCTCCCGCCCCTGAGCTGCGGCGGACACGGCACGGGCGGCACCGGCGGCACCGCGGGACCGGCGGGAGGTGAGCGGGGGCACGGACGGGTCTCCGTGCGATCGAGGGGGGGGGGGGGGGGCCGTTTCTCCGCAGCGCACCGCGGGGAGGCCGTTTCCGCTTACCGGGTTCCCGTGCACCGGGATCGTGGGCGTCCTGTGCGCTGAGCAGAGGCCGTTCCCCTGTACCGGGTGCCCGTGCGCCGGGGACGTGGGCGTCCCGTGCACCAACGGGAGGGAGGGAGGGAGATCCCGTGCGCCGGGATACGGGTGTCTCCTGCACCGGCGTGCCGCGGCGGCTCGCTGTGCCCCGCGCCGGCCAGCTCCTGCCGCAGCCCCGGGAATTCCCGGCCGCAGCCCCGGGAATCCCGTCGGCATCCCGGCACTGACCGCCCGTCCACCCCCGCAGGTCCGGGCCGATGGTGGGAGGCAGCCCCCGGCGGAGCCCGGCCGCCCGCCATGCCCTGGAGCGTCCGGTGGGTCGGCGGCTGCGGCGCCCAGTCCCAGAAGCAGTGCAAGAAATCCTCCTTCGCCTTCTACCAGGCGGTGAGGGACCTGCTGCCCGTCTGGTTCCTGGAGGACATGCGGACCATGGAGGTCTTCCACTGGGAGGACGGGGGCAAGGTGAGCGTGTACTCGCCCTCGGAGGCGCTGCTGTACGCGCTGGTGCACGACCACCAGCCCTACGCCCGGCACCTGCTGACTAAGTTCCCCCAGAGCGCCCTGGCCGTGCCCAGCCAAAGCTTCAGCTGCTGCCAGTCGGCCCCGCACCTGGCCATGGCCGTCCGCTACAACCGCGTCCGGGTCCTCTTCCGAATCCTCAAGGCCATCCAAGCCTTCCCGCCGGGCGACAGAGCCGGGCACCTGGACCGGCGGGGCTGCAGCCGCGTGGAGGGCGGCAAGACAGCCCTGCACATCGCCTGCGAACTGGTGCGGCCCGAGTGCCTGCTCCTGCTGCTCGGGCACGGAGCGTCGCCCTGCCCGCGGGACAGCGCTGGAAACACCCCCCTCGACACCCTGCTGCAGCAGATCTCCCACATGCCGGCGGCTAACATGCGTGCCAAGCTCCTCTGCCTCGACTGCCTCTTCTTCTTCGTGCCTCAGGACCTCCAGTTTGCGATGAAACAGCAACTGTTGGACAACCGCCAGCAGTGGCAGGACCTCCTGGGGGAGAACAGGTTCCGATGCCTGGTGGGCTTAGCTCCCCCATCACTGTTTGTCGGAGCCATGCGTGTCTTGATCAGGACCATTTCACCTGAGCATTTCCCAGAGGCTCTGGACAATCTGCCTCTGCCTCATTTTCTAAAGCCTTTGGACTTGAAACTGGAGAGCTAGAGGGGCGGTATGAGAGCCTCCCGCTCACCTGACAGAAATAGACTTGTGCTAAAAGTGTATCAGTATACAAAGCTGCTAATGCAGTGGCCAAGTATCTGTTTTAATGAGAACTGTATTTTTAAAAGAATTATATCTGGCACTTTACAGTATATTTTATTTAAAGACCCTTGTGATGAGGTGAGGGCCGTGCTGCATTTTATAAAGGTGTTCTATGGCATGTACAAATGAGGGGATGTGGAAGAACATATTTGTAAATACATCTGAATAAACCAGTGGCAGATGTGATCAAAATACAAATCAAGCAACTGAAAACCCTGGAGTGGCATGTGCCTTGGAAAAGCGTGTGCAGGGTGGGGGAGTATCTTTTTGTTAGGATTTCCCTGTTACATAAGCCTTGCCGTCCTGGAACAGGATGACTCCTTTTTTACAGCTCTCCTAATACATCTTGGCAGAGATGCGGGTTTTTTTTAAAGGCACAGATGAAAACTTCCTCATCTTGTACACAAGACCAAAGAGAAGCCAGATACTGTTACAACTTCCCTAAACAAGCTTGCCAGAGATGTGCATGTGAACAAAATATATTTTAAAATATGCATAAATAACAGTTGGCTTCCTTCTAAAGTTCTCTCTGTTCCTTTTGGAGGATCAAGGTGCTTGTTGTCAGGCAGTGGAGACCTGGAATACACACACTGCTCTGGCCAAAAATGCTCCTGCCCTGGCAGGGCTGGACTCTGCAGCCCCTCTGTGTGAATGCTGCAGGGTGAAGAGGGTAACATGCAGCAGGAGGGCCAACCTGCTTGTGCCTGCTCTCTGCTATTCCCAGATGGATTTCAGGAGGTATGGCAAGGGCCCAGGACCCTAGAGCATGGCTTTTTGGATGGATTGTGGATTCTGGTCCCTCCGCTGCTGCTCCCCAGCAGGTACACTGGGTACCAGAGGAATAGCTTAGATATCTAACCTTCCCCCAACCATCCCTCCTAAGATACTCTAAGGTACAAAAAAACCCCCCACACAGCTGCTCCAGATCAAAAAGCCCTTTAAGGGTACCCTGCTTCTAATACTTCTGTTTTGACCAAGCAAAGGGTACAGCTTCAGTTCTTTGCTGTGCAACCTTTCCAGCATTCCAGGCAGTCCCTGTAGAACTGGCACTGTCCCCGCGTGCTCTGCAGGGAGCTGTGCCTGCTCCACCGGCACTGCAATGAAAGCAATCTCCTAGGCCACAAGCACTGGAGCTTTGGCTCTGTTCTTGGAAGCTGTCATTGAAACTGGAGGGTTTAGTTTCAGTGCTTAAATTCATAGCCAGGGAGTTGTTTGCTACTTGAAATATTTCAGCACTGCTGTTCCCTCTGGGGTCATCAAGGAACTGATGTGCTCAGAGAGAAGAGGTCATGTTCAAGGCACAAATGTCTTTATTTGTAAATTAATTTTGGTTAACGGAAAAAAAAAACAAAACACCGCAGAATGAGGCACTATAAGCTGTTCATCCTTCAGCAGAGCATAGTGGTATTTCATCTAAAATAATCTCCAAACTGCAGCACAATAAAAGATAAGCCATACTTCTGAAATTTGAGAAGAAAGAGAAAGAAGATTGCTATTCTTAGACTGATGGCGCTGAAAATGTTTCCTAGAAGAGCAAATGTTCCTTTTTTTCCCCAAGAAACCAAGCCGATACATGCTCAAACTAATTACCATGGGAAATTTAGGTCCCTTGCTGGAAAGCATGGAACAATTCTGTTTTCTTCAGCTACCTTGTGGATTATAAACATACAGAAATCTAAAGAACTAATCCCTCAGCCACTTTAAAAAAAATTTAAATATCTATGTTACTAAATTCTTTATTGGAGTACACGTTCCCCATTGGTCCTGTCATAATGGTGTGGAAGCATCTTTCAAAACAGACAAGTAGTAAAGCACTCAAGTCTAACTTGCACATGGCAAAGTGTTGTGAGGTGGGGGAAGAGACAGAGCTAGGGGTGGGAGGAAATGTTTATCAGCTTTGCTGACAGAGACATAATGCGATTCAGCACTGGGGGAGTTGGTTAGTTGAACTGAGCGCTGGAAGATGCTCCTGCTCCCAAGCTGTGAGGGTAATTACACATTGGAACAGCATGACAGGCTGGGCGGGACATCCTGCACCTTAAAATGAGCCCTTAACAAAACATGAATTCGAGGCAAAGGCTGCCCTGTGATTCACTATGGCCCTCCCACCAGCCCTGGGGTAATTAATTTCAACAAACAAAACGGATCCCCTCCACATGTTTGTGATGGGTCCAAAGCCAGCGAACTGCTGTGCCCTTCCTGTTATTCTGGGACAGAAGTCAGACTTAGTGCTGAGCCCACACTGGGGTTTGCTCTGCTGGAGGTCACAGATGAACCTCACTGCGTGTGGCTCGCTGATGTCTGCGATGCTTAATCTGGAGAGGCTGAGAGGAACTGTGGGCAAACTGCACTGGTGACTACACAGACCACTCACCCAACGGGGTCCAGGCTTGTTTTTCAGACAGAGTCACAGCTTGGAAAAGGGCTGGGGCTTCTTGGCTTTGGAAACAGAAGCCCTTTGTTACAGAACAACCAATAGCAGCATCAGCTTTCCTCAGGCTGACCTGCCAGCATGTCTCTGTCCTCTGCCACCTTTGGAGCGCAGTGGAGTGCAGGCTCCACAGCCTGTTTAGTTTTCCATCTCTTGGAGAAGACTACCAACAAAAGTGCCAGTTGCTTAATAAAGCAAACATGAACAGGGATTATGTCACTGCAGAAGAGGACTGTGGTGCTAGAGCCAGGGAGCTGGCCATGAAGGTGTGGGAAAGAAGATTCACCAAGTCCTAACACCATGAGGGCACAGAGCTAAGGAGATAAAAGTCTTACCTGCAAGGTAAGTTCTGTCTTACCTGCACAGGTTAATGTAGTCACAACAAGGCAAATCACTCACCTGTAGAAAAAGCTTTCAAAAGCATGTAAGGCAGTATACAGAGCCAGCATTCCTTAAAAGCTTAGTTACAGCCAGCCCTCTAAAAAACTGCTTTCTATTATGAAAAGTACTTTCTATCATCAGTGATGAAATCTAATAAATATTTCCCATGGGTTCCTCAAGCACTTTAAAACCAAAATATTCATATGCTACCCACCTTTTAGTATAAAGTGGTTTTATTTGCTGTGACAGGTAAAAAAGGCCTGAAACATTTTCATTCAGAAAGCAAGGGGAGAGAGGAAGTACTG